GCTGGTAATTTCAAATGCAACCCTTAATTTTAGGTAGAGTAGTCTTCTGCTGCTGTTACATGAGAAAGTTACATGGCCATGTTCAGTAGCATTTTTCTTGGACTTAGGGCTTCATACTTCTTTTTAAAAAGGCAGGTGATGGCTGGTAGTAAAAGGGATGGTATTGATTTCCTAGCCCAGGCAGCATAAGAACTGGCCTTGGCAAAACCCCAATGTAAAGAGGGTGAACTGAAGTGCTCTCACCATTTGCAACCAGCCACAGTAGCTGGGAACCCAATCTATGCTCCTGCTCTTTGTTTCATGAATGGCATCTGAGAATCTTAAGTGCCCACACGTGCCAACATGCAAACATTTCCACACCCTGCAGGGAACACACTTAACAGAAAGGCAGGTCAGGAAGGGGGGGAAAAGCAGCAGGGGGGGGGGGAGCTAAGCTGCATGCCTGAGCAGGAAAGGGAAGGGAAGAGAATCCCACCTGCTTGGAATCTGATCTGGAGATGCTATTAGAGTATGGCAGGGCACACCACCCAAAAGACTATACATTATTTATAAACTGAATAAAAAGCAACATGTCCTAATAGGATCTTCACCCACAACTGTGGTATAGGACACCAAACCAACTGATTGATGCAATTTATTTCGTTTAACTATTCAGATAACTCTTCATTAGAGATTCAAATTTCACAAATCACTCCACGTTGGCTCATGTCACACGCAAACCTCTGAAGTTCAGAAAGTTCAGTTTTGCAGGAGTGAATGAAGACTTGACAGTCACTTGGTTCAAAATGTCTCAGCTACTTTTAAGCAAAAGAATAGGATGGGAAAATGAGGAAAATGGCTTGATTCATTCACTGGGCTGCATCACAGTTTGTTTTGCCATAGTTTAATGAATAAATTGCAACTTACTGCATCCACACAAGCTGTAAAGCAAAGTTTACAAACCACAATAGTTGGATGTCCCCAACACACTAAGCCAAAAAGTAGCCAACTGTATTATGGTTTAGCATAATGTTTGAACCAGGCCATCTGGATCAGTCCTACATAGAACTACAATTTCTAACCGTCTTTGTTTAGGAGCCATATATAGTTATGGACCCAAAATGCATATCTAACTTCAGCTTAAATATGGACGGCTGCTCCTGCATGCCACTTTCCTCTCTTGAATTCAAGCTGAGGGAGTATTACATTCGCACAGTTCAGTGTTCTGGAGACCAAAGGCTGAAATGCCTCTTTTCTGTGACTCTGAATAGATTAAACCATTCTCGCCATTGTGATTGTTGCTGGGATTTCAATTCACAGGATTCCAGCCCCCTTGAAGCATCTGGACTTCTAAGATGGGGAAAGCTGGATCACAGAAGGGGGTAAACAAAGCTCCAGTACTGAAGGGGATGGTTCTCCTGCCAATGTCCTAGACTACTCAAAATAATATAAAGATAGACAGAATGAATATAATGTCTCTTCCTTCGTTGTCCTGTGTACTTTTCTGATGCTAATTATGTCATATTGCAGACCAAAAACTATGCAGGAGCAGGATGGAAAGTTCCTGCTAAGAGAAGATAAAAGAGGGTTGGCCTATAAATTAATATGTCTTCCCCTGGCTATTCAGCTGCTGCCACTGAAAAGGACATGATTTGCGGCTGCAATAGAATGAGTGGTGAACAAAGATCCAAAACTCTTCAAAATTCTGTCAGCAGTGACTCTTAAGTCACTGCCATAACTTATAGATGCTATCAAGATGGAATTTGCTTCCTCTGTCCTCCTCTATCACTGTCACAAGAGCTGGCATCTATTCTTTTGGAGCAAGTACAGGCATAAGGATGCTTTGTGTGTGTGTGCGCGCGCGTGCACGTGCGTGTGCGGGCGCACATGCATATGTGAGACTTCAAGTCAGCCTGGACTCCCGGCAACTGCCTGGCAAGTTTCTGCAGTTTGGCAAGTTTTTTCGGAAGTGGTTTGCCATTGCCTCCTTCCTAGGGCTGAGAGCGACTGACTGGCTTAAGGTCACCCAGCTGGCTTTGTGCCTATGATAAGACTAGAACGTGTGGTCTCCTGGTTTCTAGCCTGGTATTTAACCAGTATAACAAACTGGCTCTCATAAGGATGCTTAAAGTAAGGTTACTAAAATCTAAACTTGAGAGCTTATCTCTCTCTCTCTCTCTCTCTCTCTCTCTCTCTATCTATCTTCTACAGTATCTATCTAATCAAAATTATAAATGTTACAAAAATGGACAAAAGGCCTAGAAGGATTGTTGCCCTGACTTATTTCCTTGGCTCAACTAACTGATGACAAAAACTGTTCAGATCTCTTGCTCAGACATATGTAGGGTTCTGCTCTTTGGGTCACTCTTACGATCTAAAGTATGTGTGCGCACATGGGCAGGTCAGATTGTCCATCTGGCTCAGTATCATCCAACATGGAGAAACTCTTCAGAGTCAGGCAATTTTCTGCCCCCTTTAATTGCTCTTGTTTTGAACAGAGATGAACTTGAAAACTACCATCGGTATATTGTTACCAACAGGCCTTCTACGATGGAGCTGGAGTCCTTTACTGGATAGAAAAAGGGATTATTTTGGCTGACTACAGGGGTACAAACTAGCTCTCAGGAGTGGCATGGGGAAGCCATAGAGCTTCTGAAGATAAAGGACAATTGTTTGATAGCACGAGTGTCAGCAGAAGAGTTCCTACAGTTCCTCCTTTCTGCTGAATGGAGCCAGTCCATCTTAGCCAAACAAAGCAATAACATTTTACAACATAGCTTTAAACCTGGCAATGACAAAAGAGAAAGCATACAAGGATCTGTTATTTATAAGTTGTTTTTTTTTAAAAAGGAACTGAATTTGAAGGAAGTTTCCATGTACTGTGTAAATCCAACTACTTGTGGTATATTCACAAAACCATGGCTTAGCATGATGTGAGAACCCAGCTTCGGGATTTCTGCCAAGAAGTCACTGCCAGGGTCAGAGCATTGCCCCAGATCCCAAGTCTTTTATCCACTGAACCAAACCTTACTCAGAAGGAGGGGAATGGGAGGAGGGGAAGAGCAGTGTTGGCACAGCTGTCCTTTTTTTTGTTGTTTGGAATATAAAGATTTTTATTGGAAGGACTTTGGCTAGACATGCACTGTATCATTCTGTGCCAAATTCCATGCAAGAGTGCCACGTTCCTCTCTCTCAAGCTGAGAATCAAAGCCCATTCCTTGTTTCCCAGAATCGCTGGGCTGGATGTTGGGGGCTACAGAGAGGGGAATTACCCAACAGCAGATGCCAGTAAATATACCACCACCCATTGTTTTACTGCTCCCAGTCTAATGAAGTTTCTTTCTGGTGTGGTACATTAAGGGTGGGTGGGTTCTGGATTTGATTCCCTGGCACAGCCAACTCATTGGTTGTTCCCTCCCACTTTCCATGTAAACATTTCCATTCCCCACCCAAAGGTTTCCCTCCCCACTGCCAGTTTGTAGCACTCATGTGAATCCTTGGGCACTGGTCACAACTGCCCAGTCAGGCTTCATCTGAAAAACAAAAAACAAAAGGCTCCTTTTTGGATATTTCCAATTCAAAACAGCCTGAGAGAGAATTGAAGGGGGAGAGGGAGGGAAAGGCTGAGAAACCAATCCAGACATTGACAATATCAATGTGTTTAGCTTCCCTGAGGAGCAGGACAGACTTCTTTCCCCAACCTGGTGCTCTCTTAGAATACCCAGTAGCCCAGCAGTTGCAATCACAGCACAGTGGGAGGATGGACATGTGGAGAAAGGTTGACCTAAATTCATACTTTCTCTAAGTGACAAGAGGTACGGTACTACCTTTCCTCCAGAAGATCATTGAAATGTTACAATATTTGGGTTTATTTACAAATACAAGCTCAGTGTAGGAGGACGTGGAAGCCCAAAGCAAATTCTCTCAGGAGAAGCCAGAGCTCCCTGTTCCACAGAGAAGGAACAAGCCCTCAAAAACCATTTGTACCACCCTAATCCAGCTCTCTGTCTGAAACTTAAGACTCAAACTTCAGCACATTATTCTTTTTACTTACAAGCCAGCTTCCCCCATTGTGCTAAATCATGATTTCCTTAGCTATGGTTTGTTGAATAACTACAATTGCCAGAGTTTGCACAACATGCTAAACCATATACTATGGTTTCCGGATCACAAGGGAACCACACATGCAATGCGAGAAGTGATAGGTGGGTTTACTCAACATGCAAAACTATAGTTTGTTTAAACATTATTTGTTGACAGAGCCACAACTGGCTGAACAAACATAATACACTGTCATAATCATTGTCTATGAAGCGTAACAGCTAGGTTCATAGAGCATCCTAAGCCAAAATCAAGCCAGCCACGATATGGCTAAATGAAGTCTTTGACACAGCTGTATGTTGGCACCTTTGTCTGGATTTCAAGGCAGTCTTGAGAACCATCCTCTTCAAACTACAATGCCATGAAGAGGGGATGTCAGCAAGCCTTAGTAGTGAGATTATCTAACCCCTGGTAGCATTGGGGGTTGGAAGCTGAGCAGTCAACCCCAAAAGCATCATCCGGAAGCAACCTTTTCACATTGCTGATGCTGCCTGAGTCCAGATATGACATTAAGCTATAATTTTTGAAAAAGTCACAATTGGCCAGGTTTCCATAACATTCTGTTATAAACCATGGTTTACAAACCTGAATTCACACAAACATACTAAGCCCCCCCTCAAACCCCACACAATGACACTGTAGCACTATGCTGCTGATTTTTAGGGCACAGAGCCATTAGCTAACTGGCACAGAATGAAGAATCAGCACAAGGGATCATTCTCTGCATCACAATAAATGTAAGGTAAGGTAACAGCCTCCCCCAATCTGGTGCTCCCCTGATCTTTGGGTATTACAGTTCTCAGAATTCCCTGTTGGCAGGGCAACTGGGAATTTTGGGAGCTGTCATCCAAAATCAATTGAAGAACACAGAGCGGTGGCATAGGGGATGTTTTAGAAATTACAGACAGTCCTCTACTTACGAACTTTCAAATCACGAACTCTTGCCGATATGAACAAACCTGTCTGCAACTCCAACCTAGAAGGTCCCGGAAGGCAGGAGAAGGCGGGAAAGGATTAGTTTATGGCGTGCCACATACAGACGCTTGGCAGCACCGTCACACATTGGGAGGCATGATTTTTATACTTGGTTGAACCTACAAACAAAATGGTCATATGAACAGCCTCTTGGAATGTAACCAATTCATAAGTAGAAGACTGTAATAAAAAATGTTGTTTCTTTTTTCAAAAAAAAAATGTGAAGGCATATGCTGTAACTCTCCAAATAAGACTAACCTAATGATACCAGTACAATAAGGTAAGTTGTTTATTGATTGCTTGCCTATTTGCAAACACCCACTGAGCTACTGAACTATTCATGCATTGTCTAAAAATTAGAACCTGAATTTGTTTGTTTTCCCTTCTTCCCCCTCCTCTTTTTCCCCTTCTGTGCTGTATCTTTTGAACTAGAAACCTCAGTGATCTTGAGCTGAACAGCACTGCGGTTTGGGGGTGGTCATATGGTATTATCTGAGGAACAGGATCACATCCCATAGTCCCACTTCCGTTCTGGGTGCTTTACATAGGGGTGAAAAGTGTCCAAATACCAGTTTAGTTAACAAAAGTATTGAATAGTTTCTCTTTCAGATAGAAAAAAATGCAAATCTAAAATTATAACTAGAGCAAAAACCAGCCAATTGGATTAGTATTCCTTCTTCTATAATAGGAAATATAGGGTTCTGCTCGTTAGATGTTACGTCAGGGTTCCCAGCAGAGCTCTCTTGCTCAGCTTAGTGGGGGCTGCTGACTTTTTCACACCTGAACCAAGAAACAAAACCTGTTGTCCATTTAAAAGAAAACAGAGTGAATCACTCCTTTCAGTCTTATGAACTGATCAAGCCTTCTTTACTCATTCTTCAGAGCAGCACAGAAGGTCAGGCAGCAAAACACAGCAGACAGAAAACTCCCACCCACAGAGAAGAGTTTGGAACGAAAAGCAAGACTTGTGACATCTAATCAAAAACAAAGGCAAACTCTGAAAAAAAGCATGAAAATTGCTCCAGTTTTAGAGAGTCCCATGACCTCCTGGGCAAACAAGCTAGACTGACAAACTGCAGAAAAATCCGGGGAGGGAGGACCAAGACACCACCCTTAAGAAGGAAAAAGGAGAAGAGAACATCATTTAAAAAATAGTTCAGGAAAGGGGAAGAACCCAGCTTGGAACATGCTGATGGTTTCCAAATACTTAATGGATATCACAAGAAGAGGAAAATCATTAGCCATTGCAATGCCTAGAGCAGTGTTTCTCAACCTCAATAACTTTAAGGCGTGTGCACTTCAGCTCCCAGAATTCCCCAGCCAGCATGCTCATGTGGAAATTCAGATCATGCAGAAACTCAGCCCTTGAGGACTGAGCTGCTGGCATCAACTGAAAACTCGATGGGAGCAGGACAATTTATCAGCATATGAAAGCTGGTCAGGGCTATGTTTGCCCAGGGGAAGTCATGATATCTTAGCATTGGACTGGTTAGCAAGGATTTTTTGGGAAATTATAGGAAGCGAAGTCCAACAGATCTGGGGAAGATCAAACAAGTAGATCCTCCAACTAGGTAACACTCTGACCTGAGATGAGATAGACTGATGGCTCTACCACATGCTTGTCTAACACGTTAAGAGACAGAGAGAAATAGAATATTGATGGCAGACATATCCCATAAAAAATATTGAGTGGGTAGTCTATAATTCTTCTGGGGCACATCTGGGACACATGAAACACTAGCAGATTAGGTTATCAGAATCAATGTATTAGTTTTTGAAGTGCTCCAGTACTACTTATGTGTGTTTAATATACAGATAAAATTTGGTATGATGCTGCAAGTTTTAAAAAAATAGATATGCAGAATTGGGAAGGGTGCAGGAATCCAAATTAAAGATGGGTGGTTGTCTGTAGGAAGGGAGCTCACCACCTTCCTGGAGGTTTGGTTCTACAGTTGAACTATCCTCACTGGTAGGATATTTTTTCTAACGTTTTATTGAACTATGCCTTCCTGTAAACTGAATCTGTAATTCCATGTTCCGCACTCTAGAACAATGGATAACATACTGTACTGTGATTTTGTTCTTTGTGAAATTCTTCCAGGTATTTGGCAAGCGCTATCCTATCCTCCCTTTCTCGTGCCTAAACGTTTCAATTTCTTCACTTTTTCTTCATAATTCCTAGTCCCCAGATCACCCCTGTTCATCTCTGAACCCACTTCAGTCGGCCTGATTCCTTCTTAAATATAGTATCCAGAACTGGTTATTGCTTAAGTGGGGTCTAAGCAGTACAGAACAAAGTGATATTACTCCTGTGATTTATTAAGTATGCTTATGTTTTAACAGCATAAACTTGCATTGCCTTTTTTGCAGCTGACTCATCTTCAGAAACAACTATTCCAAGATGTTCTGCACAATTACTTTTGTACAAGTATTTAAATAGAGAAGGTTGTGTTTGTCTCTGTTAAGTGTGTGTGTGTGTGTGTGTGTGTGTATTCAGCAGTCTCAAGATTGTTTTGAATATATTTTTGTCTTCAAGGTTATTAACTAGCTAGCCCAATTGTCTGTCATCTGCAAAGAAGATTTCTCTCTACCTTCTCACCCAAGCTATTAACAAAACAATCTGAAGAGTGCAAGACAGAGGAGTTAACCTTATGGCATTCTGCTCTCTTTCACCTAAGTGAGGGTCCATGGGTTGGAAAACGGTGGGAGGAGTGAACTAGCAGATCTTCACCAGCTCTCTCCCCATGCCTTCTACTGCCTCCTAAATAGCAAAAATTCTACAGACCCAAGAAATCTAGCCCCAGTCAGTAGAGTCTTAGCTAAAAGCTAAAATCTAGCATTTTTCCCTAGGCGTTCCACAATCATGGTTTCCCATTTATCCCAACCCTAAAGTGCAATCTCTCTTGGTCCTGGATTCACCCTCACCTGTTCCACCTCCTAGGTATCACTCCCTTCAATGACCCTTGTATAAATGTCCTTTTCAGCTGTCAAACGTACAGACCATGTCTTTCAGTATTTGCCCTGCCCACCCCGCTTTCCTTGATCACATTTAAAGAACATGACTGCTTGGCTGATGCTTTCGCCATGGAAGGGAAGACTGAATGCATGCTTGCTATTTACACAGTTAATGCCAAGCTTATAAAGCAAACAGAACTGACAACAGAGTAAACAGTAGCAGAAGAAGAGGAAAGAGCCAGTTTGGTCTAGTGGTGAAGGCACCAGGCTAGAAACCAGGAGATGGGTTAAGAGTTAAGAGTCCCACCTTAAGCATGAAAGCCAGCTGGGTGACTCTGGGCCAGTCCCGCTCACCTCACAGGGTTGTTGTGGGGAAAATAGGAGGAGGAAGGATTATTAGGTATGTTCGCCGTCTTGAGTTATTTGTAAAAATAATAAAGGCAGGATTAAAAAAAAAACTTTAAAAAAAAGGCAAGAAGGCAGAACACATGTACAGAATCCCATGTACACCCATGTACAGAATCCCAGCAACATTTATTAAGGCTGT